CCGCAGAGGTTTTTTTTCCTAATGAGGCCAAATGCCTGGTTAAATTAAGACTGCCTCTTAACTGTTAAGTTTAACCAAGGAAATGCTACTCTATTCAGAGAACTCTTTTTTTTTTCTGAGAAGGAGATGTATAGGTGGGCATTTAGATATCTGCATTTTATAACATTAGTTTCCTTCTGCTCTTCACATCACCTCAGAGTGGTGATTTATTTTTCACTTCGCCAGTGGTTGAGAGTCCACCTGAAATCAGAGAAGAAAGGTTCTCATGCCAGACTCTCTCAGACTCCCGAATTCTAGAGATGAAATGTCTGCCTGTGATGTTTACAGGTAATTATATCAGTGGTGCCGAATAGGGAACCAAATCCAGCTGTGCTTTTCACCACGCTCTGGCTGTCCTTGAGTGGCTAGAGTGGAGGACTCGGTCTTAGCCGAAAAATAGCTGCGGTGACTCAGCGCTCCAAGGGGGTCGGGTGATTGTCCAAAAGATCCTGTTTTGAAAATGCCCCGCTTTGCCCCCGCGTGTGGCGCCGTCACAGCCAGCAGCCTCAGCGTGCGGCGTGCTCGCCGCCGTGGCTTGCCGTGCGTCTGCCTCCCTGCACCTTTGTCTCCTCTCTCCTCCTCCTTCCTTTCTGGCCTGATTTCTCTCACAGCAGTTCTCATCAGGATGTATTGAAGTCAGGAAGCCAGGAAGATGGCTGAGAAGCAGAGCGCCAGGCGGAGCAAGAGTTGAGCATGTAGGGTACTTGCTTTGCACATAACCAACCTGGAGCACCGCCAGGAGTGATCCCTGAGCGTGGAGTTCCAGGTGTAATTTCTGAGCACCAGTGGGTATCACCTAAAAACCCCCCAAATAGAAAAAAATAGCATATACTGAACATGTGAGGCCTGTGTTCAATCCCCAGCACTGGGCCAAAGACACCAGGTGTGACCCCTGCTTGTTTTTAAAGGATTAGAATAAAGGAAAGGCAAGCAGATATTCAAACCATTACCTTTAATTGCTATAGATAATTTGATTTTAAAATTTTGTTATTTCTGGACACTTCATTCTAACGCACTGGTGTTGGGGAATTCTCTTTTTTCCCTTCTCTTTTTTATTTTTTGTTTGTTTGGGGGCCACACCCAGCAGTGCTCAGGGCTTCCTCCCCGGGAGGCTCAGAAAACCATCTGGGGTGCCAGGGATCTAACCCAGGTCGACGATGTGCAAAGCAGGCATCGTACCTGCTGTACCATCTCTCCAGCCCTTGTTTGGGAGTTCTTACAGGGTGCCCTGAACAAGATGGGCACCAGGATTCCTTATCATCCTGCTCTCAAGACAGTGAGATTCCATCTCTTCAGTGAGTTTGGGGCCCTGGCAGGTCTCCGTGTTGTTAACGGGGACCGCGGAGAACCTTCCTTACTTGGCAGGGGGCCCTGCAGGGGTGAGCAGGACATTAGTGAGAGCCTGACTTTCCCTGGCGGCTGACCCCTCTCACTGAGTTCTTTCAGAGCCCAGGCATGCCAGACCTGCAGCATGAGTCCGTGGCCCCAGGAGGGGCCTCCCCCCACTGGATCTCAGACATGGGAGCAACCTTGTCAGCGGCACCAAAATTGCTTGGCTGTGGGGCATTGGGGGTTCCTGGAACCATCTCTCGGTGCCTGCTGCCCAGGGAACCTTGGTCTGTAAGATGCTTTATTTCCTCTGCCAGGACAGAACTCTCCCAGTGTCCAGGAAACAGAGCTCACCCCATTTCCCAGGGCCCTGCGGCTGGTGACACGTGTTGCTCCCCAGGAGCCCAGAGTCACAGCAGACTTCCTGCCAGAGTGGCTCCCAGAAAGCAGGTTTACCCAGCAGTGGTCACTCGACAGTGGACGGCGTAGCAGAGAAAGGATGGCCACTGCCCTTCTGAGGCCAGCACAGGAGTCAGGGAAAACAGCCAAGGCCGGTGAAACAGGCCACATTGCAGAGCACTTGCTGCCTTTGGCCCAGAGTTGCAGCTGGTGCCCGCAGCGCTGCTGGATTCCTTGTTATATTTGTCAAGAAGCCTTTCAGAATATTTCCTAGGGGGCGGAGCAATAGCACAGTGGGTGGGGCGCTTACCTGGCATGTACAGACCCAGTTCGAGCTCTGGCATCTCATATGATCCCCTGAGCAACACTAGGAGTGATTCCTGAGTGCAGAGGCACAAGTGAGCCCTGAACATAGTCAGGCATGGCCCCCAAAACAAAAACAGAAATTTTTTTTTTTTCCCAGGAGAGATTGTACTGGTATGGTTTAAGTATATAGGGTACTGGATGCCTACTAATATCTAAAGCGATAATCGCATAGTTCATATGATTTTTTTTCACTGATGTTTGATGAAATGAAGAAAACATCGGCATTCTTAGTTTTTTTTTTTTTCTGCAGGAGCTGAGAGCTTAAAAGGGCACTTTCTCGAGGTGTCTTTGTCATCAAACAGTTAATATTTAAAAAAAAAAAAACACTCTACTTGGCTCCCTGGGTTTGAAGCCGTGCTCTGCTCTCAGCTTTTACTCCATCTCACTACCCCTCAGTTTACCCATCTGTAATAGTACCTGTCTTTCAGAGCTGTTGGGAGATAGATGTTCAGGTGTCACAAAGATTTTCAGACAGCTTGGGCTAAGTTGCTGTAGGTGATAGCCATTCCTGCTGCTGCCACTGTGAAAACCAGGAACTTCTTCTTTTCCCCTTGCTGAAGCCAGTGTCATCCACACAGAGAATGACCTAAAGGGATAAGTAGCCCGAGACAGAACCAAAATTTCCCCAGCAACATTTTCACATCTGATGAGGTGCTTGACTCATTGCCTAAAGCTTTGCACTGTGGAACACTGAGATGATTCAGACCTTGGAAGTTTTCAAGCCAAGTACATCATATTCTCAGTGTGGCGTGAGAAGATGCTGTCCGTATTCATGATAGGCATGGTTTGGAGCTTTCTGAGTTTCTCGTGATAGATAGGCAACTAAAATACATAGCAGTGTTTCCCTAATAATAGAGAATATGCATTGCAGATATGTGTTGTTTGACCATACCATTAAAATTAGAAAAATCTCTGCCAGGTAGCAATTTTGTGTCTCAAATAGTAAATAGAAAGCCTTCTTTCTAATGACATGCTGGATGTAGCAAGAACCAACCATCTGGTTGACTGGATTATGAAGATGTGTGTATAGACCCAACAGGATACTATGCAGCCACAAGAAGCGATGAGATCATGCAATTTGCTGCAAGTGGGTTGGAGCTGGAAGATAAAGAGCAACACAGGATGATGTCACTTTATCTATGCAGTATGGAATAACTGAACGAGGGGATGTATTGTAGTGAAGAGAGGATGCCTGCATAACCCTTGACCTTTGAGAGGAGAAGGACAGGGAAGAAAAGGTACCAAGAGGGGAAGAAAAGAGAATGGGAACTAATGGGTGAACAGGATTTAGGGCTCCAGTCATGCTGCTGATTTGAGTGAGTGGTGTAGCCGTATATCCAAACACAGACTCAACAACACTGAGAACATGACTTCTAAGCTGCAGCCACTGGAGCTTTGTTTTGTGACTGCCAAGTGGACAGGCAGGGGTGGGGCAGGGTTTTGGGGGTGCGGAGGGAATATGGGAACACTGGCAGAGGAAAGTTGGTGGGATCGGTGTTGAAATATTGTATACCTAAAACTCAATCATCAATAGCATTGTACATCACAGTCCTTTAATTATATTCTAAAAAATAAAAATAAAAAAAGAATTTCCAATCACTAGTAAAGTTGATAGGTCTTCCGTCGAAGCAAAAAAACCAAACAACTCTACCCTCTATTGAGTGCGCTCCCGAGGAGGAATAGGGGAAGCAAGCTGGGCTCAGGTTGGCGTTGGCGCAGCCTCCATCTGTAGACTGTTGTCATTCCAGTGGGGTGAGGGGGCTCCTCAGGGGTGCAGAGGCGCTTTCCCTGCTACAGAATCCCTGCTGCCATCAACCCCCCGAGATTCAGCCTCTAGCCCGCAGCGCATCATTAGCTTCTGCTGCTCATCAGCGCCGCCTAGAGGCAAGGCGTTACTGAGAGCTTCAACTTCTTAGTTTCCGCAGTTGGTGATACTTGCTCGCAGAGTAGATCTGCCCGCATATTCCTGTGAAAATAGTGGACGAAAACCCTCACAAAAGAATCTGCAATAGAATGTTTAGCGGAGTCCAAATTTTATATTCACAAAGATATAATCGACCTTTGAAATGTTGTGTGGAAACAGTTTGAATTTACCCACCTTAGAGGCTAGCTCAGTTGATTGTATTTAAAGTGATTAAATGCTTTTCTGGAGCCTGTTCATCAGATAAGCACTAAGAAGAGACTTTGCTTCAGCACCCTGACTTCAGGTCAGACCTGCAGGGGAAACCCGGAAGCAGTCGAAAGGGCAGATCACCTGTGTGTCAGGGTCAAATGATTAAGAGGGGCCAGGAATATAAGTACCTTGCTAACCGATTTTTTGCAGGATCAAAAGTAGAGAGAGAGTATGGGGGAAATTGCCAGCCATAGAGGCAGGGGAGGAGGGGGAGGATACTGGGGACATTGGTGGTGAAAAATGTACACTGGTGAAGGGATAGGTGTTTGATCATTGTATGATTGAAACTCAAACATGAAAGCTTTGTAACTATCTCATGGTAAGTCAATTTAAAAAAATAAGAAAAAAAAGAGGGTCCAGGATGTGCCTTGCATATGAGGCCTTGAGTTTGATGCATGGCACCAAATTGCCCCCTGAGCTCCTATCCCCCCCCCCCCCCCCCGCCACACACACACACACACACACACACACAAAGATATGGTTCCAAATTAGCTAAACTGGGCCCGGAAGAGCATGTGCTTGGCATGTGGGAGGCCTGCTTCGCTCCTGGGTGCCACATGGTCCCCTATTTAGGAAATGCTGTTACTCATTCTTCGACTGTTGTGCTGGTAAGTTATGCTAATTGCTCCTGTGCTCCTTTTACTGGATCCTTTCAGGATGGAACAGCATGAGTAACTTTCCTCTTTTCCTCTAGACCGCTGCTTTTCCAGACCAGTGAGCATGTGGCCAGTAGTCCTGCCCTGGGGGACCTGATTCCATTCAGCATCATTATTCAGTTCTTATTCACCAGAGCTCCTGCTGAGTTAAAATCTCCTTTCCAGGTAATAAAAGTGAAACCAGAACCTTCTTATGAGCCTTCCCTCTTAACTCTGCCCATAAAGGACCCCACTTCCTTGAAGGGTTCTTGGCTTTCTCTTGCCTGAATGAGTCATCGGTTTGGATTTTTGACAACAACCAGAGGGAGAGTAAGAAAGGAAATCCACATTGCCCAGTACCTTTTCTGGCAGTGCAAAAAAATCCCCCCACGAATGCAGAAATTAGCCCTCTTAGTGGCAACTCAGTAAATGATGGTTATGCAGCTCTTTGGAGGCCCATTTCCTTAGCTGACCCACCAAATGCAAAAGGCGCCTTTCGAGAGGATAGTGTTATCAAGGGCTGTGCCACTTTCCTTCGTGCTGGCTCCTGAGGATTTCACCTGTGGAATCCTTCAGGGTACTTTTTTGAGCCTGCACTTGCTGGCATTCACTGAAGCTAATGCGCTCTTGTCCCCACCCTGCAGCGGGCAGAATGGTCTCACGCACGCTTCTCGCAGTGGCTGGATGACCACCCATCGGAAAAGGACAGGCTTGTTCTCATCAGGTAAAGTGTGTGTTCAGGCTTGCTTCGGGGTTCTGGGATTCTGCTGGTGATGGTGCGGGAAGGGGGAACTGGAGGAGAAGGAAGAGTACCTGGAGAGTGTGGCTGAGTACTGTGATTGAGGCACCCCACATTGCTAGGGCACACAGATGCTGGGGGGGGGGGGTCCCCACACTCTGAGCTCTCGGGGGCACGAGTTTCGCTTTCCTTGTCTGTCACTTAGTCTTCACTCCCTCTCTGTGCCTAAGGGAGCCGTGAAAACTCTTTTTTTTTCTAGTTATGCAAAACATCTTCAGCTGTGGAAAGACTCCTTGCCTTACCTCCACATTCTCAGCTTGATTTTCATGAGTTACAGTTGCTGAACTCGTGGAGAACAGATGCAAATGAACATATACAAATATCCACATGTGATAGTAGTGGAATCCGCCCTTAAAGGCCTCAGAATCTCCAGGAGTGGCAGCCTGCTCTCAGGATTTTTTTTATTGCTGAGTTTTAATCAGTTCCATAGAGAACCTGAGGCTGAACCCACCTTAGCATCAGGAGAAAGAACTAGCAGCCAGGATTGATCACCAAGATACATTTGCTTTTGAGGGGGCATGGAGTCTCAGGGCTGGGACCCGGAGGTGAGGAAAGCCCCCAGGTGGGCTGGGCGACAGGGTTAACTAGGGCAGCATCTGCTCTCCCTGCATCTCTTAAACTCCTCTCGGCTGTGAGCATCCGACCCAGAAATGGGAAAGAATGCCCAGGTGAACCTCCACGCATTCACGTGATGGCTTCAGCCTGCCCTCAGGAAAATCTTTGGGAAAGAGAAAAGGGATGTGGGCTAAGGTGGGGTTTGCAGAGAATGCCTCTGTGAGTTACTCTTGAGACCCAAAGACTCAGCTTCTGCACACTTGGTAAATAAAGGGGACTCAGTTCATTGCAAAGTGTCTTTTGGTCTTCACAAGTTAGAGTGACTTTATCCACAACAGTTGTCCTGCTGTGGGCACATCAGAAATATGTTTTCTTTTGCTTCTTTTTAAAACTGTCTCCTGAGTTATTTCATCAGCTGTGCTGTTGCTAAGGCTATATTTAGCCACTGAAAATCATGCTCAGAAAAACTGGCATGCTCTTTAAATAAAGCCTACCCATCACTCCACATATGTTTATGATCAGTACCCTCTTACCCGAAGCAGGAAATTGGGGCCCCCTTGGGGAAAATTCTGACCCACAGAGCGCCTGCTGCAGTGCTGGCGTGGGGGACCAGGGATGTTTGCCATGAGCATTCATAAAGAATATTCTTTCCCATTGATCATCGCAAAACCAGCAGTGTCCTTGCATGAGGAGGCACCACTCGATGGGTTTTTTTTCCCTGTAGACAAACCGAGGGTGACTGTTGCTCTTTAAATGTCAGTAAACTCATTGCAGCTCTGGAGGAAAACCCAGCACTGTACATTGAGTCGCTACAAAGCAGGGCAAATAGAGGACAGTGTAATTACTGCTGCCGAATCAATGGCAGTAATGAACTCGCTTCTGCCGTTCTTTCAATTTCCTTTTGACACCAGATGTTTTTCTGGAGCTTGAATGTAGCCCAGTCAAGTTAATTTTTATATCCAAGTAATCACTGACTCAGAGCCCAGTGCTCCCGGCATATGTGGCCTTGGGTGAGAGGCGACTTGTAGGTCGACCTACCTGGAGCATGATGAAGGTGAAGACTAAGTTGGTTTTTGTTGTTTTGGGGTTTTGTTTGTTTTTTGTTTGGGGGGACAAGATCTGGAGGTGCTAAAGGTTACTCCTGGCTCACTCAGGGCTCACTCCAAATAGGTTCAGGGAATCTGGGGTGCCGAGGATCGAACCAAGGATAGCCACATGCATGGCAAGTCATCTTACCCACTGTACTATCAAGTTTTTGACCTCTCTGAACTTGCAGAAGTGGTAGAGCACATTTACCCTGGCTATTTGCAGTGGACGTCGGCTGCTGGGGCTGGGTCCCTTGGGTTGGGGAGGGCCTGCCCGACCTGGGGCGCCTCGAGTGAAAACAGTCTGGTGCGGAGTCTGGAACCCAGGGTAATGCAGAATTTTGTGACCTTGGACTCTGAACTCAACGGGACCTGGGAGCAGAGATCCTCTGCCTGCTTACCTCAGTGTCCAGTGACCCAGGAGTCACACCCGTAAGCCACACCCTGCGGGCACCAGATAATATCCTCATGGACCCCCCTCTAGAACTCATGGCTCCTCCTCCCAGGTGGAAGTATAAAAAAAGGCCCCCATAACCATGCCACTGGACCACGTGCCAGGCAGTTTTCACTCGGGGCACCCCAGAGTGGGGCAGGTGAGAGCCCTCCCTACCCCAAGGGACCCAGCCCCGGCAGCTGACCTCCGCTACCCAACTGCCGTGTGACACATCATAAGACACTTCCTACCCATTTTCCATAATTACCACACCATATTTGATGGGGTTCAGACTGTAGGCAACAAATCAGAGAGAAATATATAAATATATGCCTCAGAGAGCACGGCAAGCCACCGAGAGTATCCTGCCCACACAGGCAGAGCCTGGCAAGCTCCCCGTGGCATATTCGATATGCCAAAAACATTAACGACAACAGGTCTCATTCCCCTGACCCGGAAAGAGCCTCCAGTTGTTGGGAAAGACAAGAAAGGAGAGGCTGCTAAAATCTCAGGGACAGGAGGAATAGAGATGTTACTGGCACCCGCTCAGGTAAATAGAGGAACAACAGGATGACAGTGATACAGCGATTTGCAGTGGAGCTACTGGTCTCCTCAGGCCCTTCTTTGCTTCTCCTGAGTCTGTTTGGGTAGATGCACCTTTGTGACTGAGAATTATTTGCAGGCTATATTCCCTTAATGGTGCTTTCCATCTAGACAGCACTCTGCTCTTGGTGCGGGTACCTGCCCAGGGCCCTCCCGCCCTGCCTTGGCCAGCGCCACAGATGAGCCCAAACTACAGTGTCTCTTTTTGGTTTGCTGGTCGTTGTGGTTGTTGAGGGCGTGTGGTTTCTGCCAGCACCACTGTTCATGCTCCAGGTACACGATGTTCCCGTACCACCCCCTCCCACCACAGATCAGCGTCCCTCCATCTGTGTCCCTAGATCCCTTCCTTCTGCATGCATACACACATATACATACACGCACATACACCCCCCACACATACATATGCACAAACACACTTTTACACACATACACACATGCACACATACATTCCCCCCCCCCCCCCCCCACACACACTTCCCATGCTCCACCCCTGCTTGAACATCATTTTCCCTTTCAGAGTCTAAGGGTTTGTTTTTATTGAACATTGCCAATTCTCTGGCTTTGTTTCTTTATGTTATGTATGAGTAATATCCAAATTTCGTCTTTCGCCTTCTGACTTGTTTTGTGTGAACGACCTCCTCCAGCTCTATCCATGCTTTAACAGAAGGCAAGATGTCTTATTTTCTTAAAGCTAGAGCATCTTCCATTATGTGTCTAAATCATAGCTGCTTTATCCACTCATCTGCCTTTGGTTGCTAGGTCGCTAGTGCTGTTTCCAGATCTTGCCACTCTAGGCACTGGAAATAACACCACAATGAGTTTAGGTGTGCATTTATCTTATTTTAGTGTTCTGGTACGTTTGGGATAGATACCACAGAGTAGAATTTCAGAATCACATGATGGTTCTCTTTGTGTTTTTGTTGGGAATTGGGGGTGGGAGGAGAGTGGCACAAAACCAGTAGTGGTCAGGGGACCAGTGGTTCTGGGGATCAAACACAGGACCCCCACATACACTACATGTGCTCTGGCCCTTTGAACTATTTCTCTGACCAGCCACCCCCCCCCCTTTTTTTAAGAGGTTGAACCAGTTTATATTCCCTCCTACAGTGACAGAGGGTTCCTTTTTCTCTACCTTCCCACCAGCACTGGTTGTTTGAATATACTCTTCTCACTAATGTGACATGGTATCTTACTGCCATTTTGACCCGCACTACCTTTTGATCAGGGCTGAAGAGCACTTTTTTGTATGTTTGTAAATCACTTGCGTCTTCTTTTCTCACCATTCCTAGATGGATTCTGTGTCCTTTTAGTTGGAGGGTAATAGTTGGCCACTCCTCCTGGCGTTTCTCAAGTCACTGGAATATCTGCTACCAGTTGTGGGAACTGAGTCCCTGAGATGGGCCAGAGAGGGAAGCTGGAGCCAGGGGAAGCCGGGGCCTGACAGGCCTGTGAAGGCCCCTGATAGGTTTGGATTTCTGTGCTTTGGTACTAAGCACAGTCAAGAATTTGGCCTGAAAAAAAATCTGTTTTGTACTCCAGAAAAACATCCTTTTCCCTGAGCTTCTGTCACATTAAACATGATATCACTTTATTGCCACATTACTTGCCATCTCTCTACTAGTTGTTTGCACAGTCTTCATACTGATTTTTCCCTATAAGGGTAACTTCAATACTCTGCTTATTTTGGGTGCAAACCAGAGTTGAGGCTCTTACATAATGCTCAGCCTGACTTCCAAGAAAGCTGATGTTTTGCTCAAGCAAATGAAATAATTTAATAAGTGCTTAAAAATCTTGCTCTATTTTATGTGGGTGGGCAGCTTTAATCTGGTTCCCCTCTCCCCCAAGTTCTGACGGTGTTTTTGACATATATCAAAAACGTCTAACCACATCATTTCTGAATTTCCTTCTCTATATTGTATAATTTATATAATGTTAGCCTTTTGAATGCAGATGAAACTGCTAAGTTGACTTTTATTCATTTATTATTATAATGGATGTCCACTATTGAACCTTTCTGGTTTCTATGAATCTGCACTAATTCTTAAGATGCTAAGATACATATATTCCCCATTACCTCAAAGACAGTGGAGACTGTTGGGGAGTTTTCTACTATGTATGAAATCTACAGGAGTGATATTTTGCAAGTGGGGCAGTTGCTCAGGATACCTTAGCAATGGAAAAGGATTACCAAAAGCAGCATTTTTTTCCCATAAATAGTTTAAGGTTCAGCTCTAACATGAACTAAACACTTTTCTCTTAGAGCATTAAATTCCCCACACATACTCTGCTTTTGTGTGTATCCCATCGATCATGTTTCTCCTTTATTGACTTGCTTCTGCATTTTGGCCTTATCTCTGCATTTCTGTCTTGTGTCAGTCGTTTTTCATTTTAAGTAACTCATCATGCATTTGTTAAGCAGGTCGAGAGGTTATCCTGTGAACCAAAGGGCCGCCAGGAAACTTGCTAATAAATAGATCATATGATTATGCCCTGGTAGAAATATCAGCAACTTGCTCAAGTACATGGAAAAGCTGTGGCCACTAGGAAGGTTGGGTGGGCACATAATTGTATACCTGGGGGAGAGCCAGGTGCCTCACTGTACACCCCTTTAACAGTATCTTGTAGTTTGCCTTCCCATTTTTGCAGATGATGAGTAGGCTCAAAATATAGTCCAGATTGTACCACTAGGAAGTGGAACGGAGCCTGACCCAGTGGCTAAGCCCATCTGATGGTGCCTAAGCACATGGGGCCGCTTTCAGGGATCCTCAAGTATTGGGCTCCTGCTAAGTCAAGACTGTAGGTGCAGGAGTCATAGACCAGGGCTGGAGAGACAGTACAATGTACAGGGTGCTTGCCTTGCATGATGCCCACCTGAGTTCAAAACTGGCATCCCAGATGGTCCCCTGAGCCCTGCAAGGAGTTATCCCTGAGAGCAGAGTTAGCAGTAAATCCTGAGCACCACCAGTTATGGCCCCAAAACCAAAAATAAAAACCAGAAGTCATAGACCTTTCCACAAGTTCATGTCACCAAGGCAGTTTCAGTTCTTTTGGTTTTGTTTTGGGGACCACAGCCAGTGGTGCTCAGTCAGGACTTTGCTCTGTGCTCAGGGACCACTCCCAACAAGGTTTAGACCATATACTGTGCCAGAAATCCCCTGAAATTGGCCACATGCAAGGCCCTGTACTGTTTCTCTAGCCCCTGACGTCGTTTTGAGCTGCCTCAAATTATGAGAAGCTTCCTTAGGAAGAGGCAGGCACTGAACTGATCCCGAGTGCTCACTGAGAGCAAAGAAGGGCAGCTAAGCATTAGGAAAAAATAGGAACAAAGTCCTAAGAGTGTGTCTCAACAGATACTAAAGTGTGTTAAGAGTAACAGCCCCTTTTTGCAGCCCTACTGTGATAGGCAGAGATTTTTCTTTCAGTGTTATTCACACAAACACCCCCTGATCTCTCCCCCTTACGTGGGCACTGAGATTACAGTGAATCACAGATGGGGTGAAGCCGCTCTGCACATCACTTAGTAACACAAGCAAGAGAAATGATTTGAAACTAGTGAGGTTTTAGGCCATAGTGAATTGTGTAGAGCCTCCCAGTAACAGACAGGGTTGGGGCATTAATGGTAAGGCTGGTATTGGGTTTCTAATAGGAAAAGGAAATGTGGGCCCTACCAGGTCTGGCAGAGACAGCATCAGGAGGCTAGAGCACAGATTAGCACCAAGAAACTGTCCCCACACTTTGTCCGGAAGTGGGAACAAGCAAGATAAATTCATAGGATCTGGAGACCAATTAGAATGGTTTGTTAAAAATGAGAGGTGAGCAGAACATTAACAAAGTGTTTTCTAGGTTCCTTTTTTTTGAGTTGGGGGGGGTTAGGGGGCCTTACCTACAGGGTTGACTTTTGGAAGTGCTTAGAGGACCGTTATGTGATGCTGCAGATCGAATCTTGGTCAGCTACATGCAAGGGAAGCCACCTTACCTGCTGTACTGTCTCCCTAGTCCCAAGTTGTTTTGTTTTTTTTTTCTGTTTTGATAAACTTTTTAGAGCAGGTTTGGTTCTGTCAAATTTGAGATGTTAAGAGAGCTATTCCAGAGACCTTCTCCACTAGAATGGACTATCTATTACTGTTGACAAATCCTCATTCACACACCATCACATGAAAACCAGTTTGCACTGCTTCACCTAGGTATAAAACATTACACATTTGAGGGGGCTCCTGGAAGAAATTAGATGGTGTTCTGAACACAAGTTAGAAGAATCAGAAGATCAGGTCCTGAAGAAGATGACTTACCTAAGCAATGGGCAGTGTATCAAGAAAGTGTATCCCCACAGTTACAGTTAAAAATAGTGAACAATCCTGATCCAGGACTAATATTTTCAGTGTTTGGGAGAAAAAAAAAAACATTAAGAATTTCATATTAGATGGGACTTAAAACTGAGTATGTGAGCTGTAACGGTATTAACTTGCATCCTTATAGAAATGCTCCATCACAGTGTGAATCTTAAAGAAACTAGATCTCTTAACCTAGTTAAAGTCTGTGACAAAAATTTGATTACTTGAAATTTATAAACGTCAGCTTCACTAACAATGAACACTCAAGATCATCTAGTTCAGGGATTCGCATAAAGGGCCATAATTTTCCATAAAGGGCCATAGAAGACAAGATAATATTCAAGTCATACTTTGAAGCCATTTGTTCTTCACTGCCATGAAAATGGGTTTTTCCCAGCTATCACAATCTCCAAAAAGAAATGGGTTGGCTTTAGCCACTGGGCAGAGTGCTGACTGTATCCAATCCATGCAAACTGACCAGTACCACACATACTCTTACTAAATTAAGACTGCTTTGTTATTCTATCATTTGTCCAAACCCAGGGCCCACATGAGCATTATTTTGTTGTGGGTTGGTTGTTCGTATTCCATCTGCTAGTGTCACAGTGTGTGCCAAAGGCACCCCCGCCCCAGCATTCCTTCCCGCGGTGCAGGGCGCCCCCTTGTGAGCGCTGCATGTCAGCACATGCTGGAGGAAGTGAGGAAGGGAGGGAAGGGGAAGCAGCGATTTTAAAGGGCTCAGATTTTTGTGATCAGAGCCCCAAGCACAATGCAGACTGAAACGTTTATAGTTTCACACATTACAGTACCAAGCGCTTTAAATGAAGGCCGTTACACTGAGCTGGTCAAAGTGGGTATGTGGGTTCCAGGAATGGGTTTCTTTTGTGTATTTCGCATCCCAGAAGCGATTTTATTTTGTTTACAAAAAATTTGTTGACTTTTTTTTTATTCGGTTTTCAGAGGATCCCTGGAAGCATATGTTCAGTTGGTGAAAAGTAGAGACGGCAAAGAATTTGCACCAGTTTACCCCATAATGGTTCAACTGCTTCAAAGAGCTATGGCTGCTTTTCAGTAATAATGGGAAGTATTTGTTAATCACCATTTTGTTTCAACTGTTCAGGGCTGATGGTTAAACTAAATACATACTCTAAGACAGCTGATACCTATGATTTTAAGAATGTAATTTTTCTGTATTTCCTATTAATGTTTTTGTTTACCTCTAGTTTGTTTGCCTTAAGCAGATATAAAGTTGATTCACTGCCATCACCTCCAGGAACCGCGTTTTTCCAGAAAAACATCCAAATATTTTATCTCAGACTCCTCTATAAGGCCAGCTAAAATTTCTTTTTCATCACATGATGGGTTCCTTCTGTAGTATATGCCCATAGTGAGCATCACTGGCTAATTATGGAATATGATCAGTTATAAGTACCCTTCTCCAAACAGCCTTCCTCTTCCCAGCTGAAGTAATTTTAACACAGAAATTTCCAAATGTAGCCTCATATTAGAATTATCTGCAGAAGCCTAGTAAATCCTGATGTCCAACTTGCAATATGTTCAGGGTGGGAGGAGCTAGGTTAATTTTTTTAATTTTTGATATTTTGTGGTTTATTGTGCTATTAATAATGGTTTCTCATGCACATATATTTTTTAAAAAATATTCCCAAGTGCGTTCCAATGTGCAGAAATGTTTCGGAATAACTGCATCTCTCAAAGCTAATTGTTAAATGTCTAAATATGTCAGTTTAAATAAAAGAAACAAGACTTTGACACTTCTTGTGTGCCATTTTATTAAAGCAAACCTTTAGGGCTATAAAATAATCAAGCTCCTTGTCTTTTCATTTTTAATTTGCTATTTAAAAACCCCACTTGCGACTCTAATGTATTTTCTAGGTCCTGAACCTGTTGTTTGGATGTCTCATAAAGTCCACTCAAGATCAATCAGAAGTAAGAGATAAACAAAATTTAATTTTTTCCTTTCCATTTTATTTGAAATAATATACAAGAATATAGTGTGCAAAATTTAGGGGCAACATCATGAAGTGTAATGAACTGAAATCAATTTTACAGCTGTGATTCCTAACCAGAAACACCACTTGGTAAATAACATGAAAAGCCATGATTGTAGCTCAGAGCAAAAGCAGCTGTATTGCCAATGTATTTGCTCTAATGTTAGACAGTTGGAGGAAAGTAAAGTGCAAGTGTTGCACTGCAATAAGTGCAAAGTCTGCCCCCACCGTAAAGATATGATGACAAAATAAGATATTTAAGATACGTGGCTGAGGAGATATAGAACACAACGTTAAAAAATACAATGGTGTCAACTGTTAATAGCACCATTACAGTGACTATATCCCAACGCTATTAACTACCATCAGCTTGGCCTGAGCGAGGATTCCACTGGAAATGATGGGTTTGTGCTGCCACCTGGTGCATAAAACTCAGCATGCTCATGGAAACTGCAGCAGGTGGCTCTGAGCTGGGGACACTAACAAGGTCCACCTGCCACATGTTCTGGTAGCCTCTTGGCACTGGCCAGACCAGGAGCTCCCGTGTTTGGCACAGATGCTGAGCCATGTGGAAGTTGCTCAAGGCAAGGCCAACTCCCAGCTTGTTTCATTCCATTGGGTGTACAATACAGATTAATAAGCAGTAAGGAGCCATGTATAAACAGCAGTTACATATTTTTAAGTCCCCTTTTGTACAATTTAAAATAAAACATGTATACACGTCTCTTCTCTTTCTACTATACTTTAGCACCACAGGATATCAATTTTCAAGCCTATATTACCTGATAGACATATATGAAGTTTGGAAGAGAAATAAGGCAATTTGGTTTACAATGTTGATAGTTTTAGCTTACTTAATTGCTCTAATGGAAAAAGCAAATCCTCACTCGTATTATTAAATCATTTCAAGACACAATGCTATCAGTATCTTATGGTCACACAAATTCAGGTCACACTAGAGATCTCAATCTTCGTAAGTCTTTCCATCAACAGTCAATGTTTACACAAATGCAGACTCAAGAACTTACGTATCCCAGCTTAATGTTGTTGTGAGCCCTGTGGAGAGAAAATGAGAACAGTGAATTTTTACGAATTACTGTGCTATTCTATATAATGAAAGCTAAGATATCCAAGTATCATTTATAAGTCTGCTTATATCTGATGCCTCAAAAATATACAAGCTTTATAGATGAGATGGACTAGATCATGTTTCCAAACTTATTGTATATCAGGTTAAAAAAAATCAGGCTAACACACCCTCCCTGGTCATTATAGTACACCTGGGTCGTGGGACACACCCCACTTTGTGAAACATACACTAGATGAAAATGGGGGGGGGATAGATCTGGGGAAACTACTGCCATCTCGGACGGAACTTTTAAAAAACCCTTAAACATCTAGTTTAGCTTTCCTCTGTTACTGGAATCTGACTTCAACTACTTCTTTAAGTTCTTGAAAATGTTAAGAAACTGTGATCTGCATGGCAGCCATTTACACAGAGTACAGGTATTATTACATAAAGGATCAAAGCTCTGCTGCCAAGTAGTGATAGTTCAAATTCCATTCTATCACACGATAGAATGTTATCTATAAATGCCTAACGTAGTGATAAGAACGTTCTTAGAATTAAATATAACCAAGATGGTACAAAGTTGTTCATTAGTCTTCCTGGACCGCTTATTCTCCTCCTTGAGGTATTCAATCTAGAACATTTTGTGAAAATGACAGAAACCCTTATAAAGCTCAATCTGCTAACAATACCATTCTTTTAGCTACTGAGAAGTTATGACTTATGAAACATAACCACCTCAAAATTAGAAAGTATTTCTCCTGAATAGTAAGTTATTAACACCCATCTTCAATCTAACAAGAAATACTACATTCCAATCTTATTATACAAGTTATTTCTGAGCAAACTTCTTCCTTAAGCACACCTGAGATCTCTACCTTCTGTTTAAAAATAAATAAATCATGCTTAATGATAACGGCAGTTTGCCTTATGTGGCATTAAATCATTAGACTTTGAAACATTTAAACAGTGAGAAAAGCATCACTGCAACCTTTGGAAGGTTGTTATCCCAACATGCCAGTATTATTTGGGAGATAAATCAAGATGATTGTGAGCATCTACTAGCTGAAACATACTGAATTCGTTCTTTTCCTTTTCCAACAGTCAGGATTTAAACGTTTTTGTTCTTCAGCCAAAGCTTTTGCTTCTAATGTATACATCCTTCTCTCTTCATTCTTCATTTTCTTCCACCTATCACCAAGGATCACACTTATGGCTCTGTAAAACAAATTATTTTCCACAGTGATAAAGGCAAAGCTTTTTATTAAACTCATGTCAAATGCTGTTTCCAGGAAAAAAATGTAAAAAGAAAAAAGGACAAAAATCTTGTGCAACATAGAGCAAGAAAAAGGTCATAGCTATAGACCATTTCCAGTAAAGTCACATGTTCTTTTCATCGTTAATCTCAGTGGAATAAGTGAATTGTGCCAATATTTCCAACTATTAAAAGGACATCTAAAATGGCTAAAAAATGTTCTACACAGTTTAGTTTTACAGATAGTATTTTAAAGAAATGGTTTTAATTACCAATATTAAGGCAGACATGTTAGTATTAGCAGCATGAAGTATTCATTCGCCTTGCATTAAAAGTTAACGCTTTATCTTCTTCAAAGCTCTTTGGATAACTGATAAAAGTCACTTTGCATTCAAACATAGTGAAAATGTAGTAGAAATTAATACCTTGGCATTTATATCGAAGGACACCACCAAATAAACCTTAGATACTCTTTCTACTTATCACTTACTAAAATGAGATAAACTCAAAGGAGAGTAAGTCAAACAGATACATCATGATTGAAATCTGAGACTATTTCCTATTTATGTAAGTCAGTCTAGTCACACATTTTAAAGCTCATCTAATGCATATGAAATAGTACCATTTTCCTTCTATGAAGACTTTAACCACTGGTGATGCTCATGTAAAAAAAAATTCTGGAGTAGACTACATTAGGTGTGCCTTTATAATGACTTGTAGGAATCTGCGCTTTTAGAGGAACAGTAACCACAGAAGCTTTACTGCGTCAAAAGAAATTAAATTTACTTATCCAATTAGTTTACGTAATTTAGCACTGTACATCCTTTATTAAAGCAAAAGCCATTTTTTTAGTGAGTTAAAGTTACTGACAAAATATTTACATATGTACCAATTTCCAAATCAAAGATGCAGACTGTAGAGGAAGCTTCTCTTTTTAAAATGTAAATGCTTAAAAATTAAGCTAAGAAACATTCCATTCAAAACTGAGAGTAGAAAATCATTTCACTTTTCTCACTATCTGGGTAAAGTCAATGACAGCTTTGTCAGAAGATTGGAAGACAACTTTAATACATGGAGAAGTTGGTTTTAGAGAGTGAGTTACAGTAAACTAAAAGACAGGGTAAAGATGTAGGCAAAGTAAGAAAGAAGAGTTAATTTTTATTCCTATGTTCCATGAAGGACACCTCTTAAGTTTAGTACTGTGAGAAATCTGTTATTACAAACTGCCAATGCCAATACATTCCATGGCTCAACACAGATACAAGGTGAATCTTTTGAGATTTATACAAGAACTAGTCTTTTTTTCTACCTAGCCTTCCTATAAAGGTAGAACCATGTTCCACTGTTACACCCTCTAATAGGCGAATTTGTAACATCACTTAAATATCATGTCTTTTAACTATTATAAAATAATTACATATGACCCTCAAAATTCCACTTAAAACTTCTGAAAGTCAACGTAAGAAAATATAAAGAATTACTTAAAATAATTACGTTACTTAAGTATACCAGTCACTATAAACTAAACTTAAGTGTTATATTTCTATTCTAATCAGAATTATCTAATTTCTTTTTCTTTTTTTTTACCTGTTATCTTTCCCTGGATACATCTGAGTGTATTCAACTCTGTATTTTTTGGCAAAAAGCATGAAGGCATTCATTGGTCTTTTGCACTTGTTAGGAGAAGTGGCACTCACAGTCCCTGAGCTGTGGTTTTTGACAGCTTTAGCATACAAAGAATTGGAAGAGAGCTGTGACGATCCAGGTGAGCCACAGTTTTTACTGAATCCAGATCTTGCAAAGTCTTGACCACCAGATCCTCCACAAGACAAAGATGCACGACGCTGTCGAGCCATACTACTTAGCACATAGACTGCAGAAGAATCCATAGGCGTGAAGTCATAGCTAAAAAAAATGTATATATTTTATGGTTTTAATTCATTTTAAGAGTAATTGTAAAATGAAGGATGTGTGCGTGTGTTTGCACATGTGCACACATGAATGCGTGCATGCAGTGTCAGGGATTGAACCTCGGTCTCCTCAACTGCAAGGTACTCACTTTGCCACTGTGCCACATCCAAGGCCCTCAAACCACTTTAAAACACCCTTAATATATATCTGATTGGAAGCCTACCAACAGTACTTTAACAACTTTGCTATTCATAATTGCTTTTTAGACCTAAGTTTCTGTATGTAAAAACTGTAGATTTTAAGTAACTACAGAGAATGCAGGGCTGGAGCAATAGCACAGCGGGTAGGGTGTTTGCCCTGCACTCAGACTACCCAGGTTCGATTCCTACATCCCTCTCGGAGAGCCCGGCAAGCTACCAAGAGTATCCCACTTGCATAACAGAGCCTGGCAAGTTTCCCATGGCGTATTCGATATGCCAAAAACTGTAACAAGAAATCTCACAATGGAGACGTAACTGGTGCCTTG